GTTGATATTTCTCCCTGCAATCTTAATTCCGGCTTGTGATTCTTCCAGCCTGGCATTTCTCTATGTGAAATTCCTGTCCAAATCTTAGAGATAAAATAAGCCCATAGCATTTTTTTTTACAGTACGAAAAGAACCAGGAAACATTTCCAGCATAATTGGAATTTTAAGTAAAAATGAATATAAATTTGTCCACCCTTCGTTATAAAAGCCTACTGAATTACTTGGAAGTCACTACCTCTTAGCCCAACCTATCTTACAGGTTAGTTGTTGTGAGGAAAAAATGGAAGAGGAAGTGCTACATACATCAATTTCAGCTAACAAAGAAATAAAAATTCAACAAAAATAAACATAAATAAAGGTACAGTGGGCTTCACAAACTGATCATAGCAGACCTCCAAAATTCTTTTAACTTTTCTTGGGGGCCAGATTAAAAAGAGCTTCCAGGTCAGAGGTGTGCGGGGGGGAATTATGTAGAGCAGCACTAAGCAGACACAATAGTGACAGAATACAGAACTGTGTACTCCCAACTTGTTTTATCCAACCACTTAAAGGCATCTGAACTCTTTATAGATATCACATTCTTTACATGGCCTTAAACATTTTTTTAAAAAATGCTTCAGTTAAATCCAACTTATTTTTGGCTGGCCTTGATAGCCAAGCCAGAACCTACAGTGCTTATGATGATGATGCTATCCATTCAATTGTATCCAATTCTCGGCGATTCTACGGACCAGCTCTCTCCATATTTTCCAGTCTTGTATGGCTTCTTTTAGTTGTTTTATGCTCCAGCTGGTGTTGGCTTTGATGGTGTCTATCCACCATATTTTTTGGTGGTCTTGTTTCCTTTTACTGCTGACCATCCTGAGCATAACTGCCTTTTTCAGTGAGTTGATTGCATGACATAGCCGAAATAAGTAAGGTGGAATTTTGTCATTTTGCCCTCCAGCAATATGTCTGGTTTTATATACTCCTGTACTTGCAGTCCTTATAACCCTACTCATTCTCCTTGCATGCGTTTCTCTCAATGCATATACAGTGGGGCTTATTCACAGGTAAGTATGCATAGGACTGTAACTCTGTAGCAGACTATATAGTCAAGATTAGTATTTATGCTATTCTGGGAAGGTGAGGCATTATGAAAATAGTCAACCCAAAACTAGTGTGGACTCACTTTGAATGATAACCTCCCTCAATAATTACTCCTTGAAAAATTCTATTGCCAAAATGATCCGTCCTTACTTTTCCATCTACAGCCAGGGGTTATTTTGGCTAAGGCACTTCATGCATCTCTGCCGTACATCCCCAAAATAGCCATCTTCAATCATCCTCTTTGGCACAAGAAGGAAGGTTAAGCCTTTCTTTGACATTGGGCACCAAAGGCACTATGAACACCAGGGCTGTGCATGCTTCACAAATGATTCGGAAAAATGCTTCAGACCTCACAGCCTTCTCTGCTCTTGAATAAATCAGCCCAATTTTGTTTAGGATTCTGCATAAGTCTGAAAAAAAAGTCATTGTTTTAAGGATTCCACTTATGAAATGCAGCACTTTTTTCATGACTGCATGGAAGGCTTAAAAATCTGAGGTGCTTTAATAAAAGACAGAGAGGCAATGAACATAGACATTAGGGCTTTGCAATTCTGAAGGGAAAAAGATCCTTTGGAGCACACTGGGACAATTACACAGCCACACTTTAAACCAGCTACAACTTTTCCTGGGATTGTATAGCTGCCCTCTGCAGCACACTGAAGAAAAGAATCACTTGGTTTAAGGAGTTGCTAACAAATGCTCCTTAAGAACTTAAGTGCTGCACAACCCTAATACCTATGTGTGTTAGCTGTACCTCTCATCTTTCCTCACTGAGCAAAATGATCTAAAGGGTTGAACATATCTGGAAATTCTTTCAGACTTTCCCACTAATTCAAGGAAATAAAGATGCTATCGATATTGTGGTAAGAGTTCCCAAGACTACAAACTTGCCTTTTGTAGTCACACTATTACACTATTGTTTCATTCATAGCTAATCATCCATTAAAATCCTTAAATTTGGGGTTCATTTTCTGGCTAAGCCAGCTGACTCTTTTTTATAGGTTCTAAGATTAATAATAATCAACAGGTTTTATACTTAGGCAATTCTTATCAATACCAGTAGCTTATTCTAATATCAGTTTCTATGACATATGATAATTCCCTATGATGGTAAACAATTTTCAAATATTCAAATAGAATGATTGTACAAGGCTAGGCTCTTCATTCCAATGTTTCAGATTTCTAATCAAGAAACTAAGTGAAACACAATTGTAAATCACATATAGCTCTATATGTCACCAACTTTTTTTTGAAACTCTTAATAGATTAATCTTTTTTTTTCTCTTTTAAGGAATAATCCTACTGTTCCATCTGTGCTTTCTGATAAGTTCAAAAATTCTCCCAGCAAGAAATCAGTATAATGGGAAGAGGAGCTGTCCTTTATTTTTGTGATAACATTTGTTTGGATTAGCCGAAGACTTCTACATTTCTCCCAGGTAAGGGGAATACTAGAGGGTCCAAGGAGGCAGTCTTTGGATCCAAGACTGCCTCCATCCACCTTCATTTTTGGGATTTTCCATGGTAAGAACTTCCAAGAAGACTCAATACTAAAATAGTCAGGTTCAAAGGGCAACATCTTCTGAAATTAAAACCAGTTTAATAATCCAGTGGTGTTAATCTGGACAACTGTTTTTGTAAATGAGCCACACATCATTTAAAACTCAGTATGAATGTCAGTGCTTGCAACAGGACCTGCATTATTGCTGAATGGTGAATGACGACTTAATTAGGAACAGAACACTAGCAATTAAATTAGGCCAAAATTAAAAATGATAAATTGCAGACAACTGGATGACCTTAGAAATTAAATAATCATCAAAAGCCAAATCTCTTTATATTTTTAATGTACATTTGCTCCTATGTTGTTTCTATTCAATTGTTTGGCTTTATTACACTGTATTTATCTTTGATTAGCTGCTGATACACTTGTTTAAATAAATACTAAATACTCAGTATTACACAACTTTGCACCTGAGGAAAATACTGTACATTTTAGAACTTAGTTATTTACTTGCCCTGTACTAACACTATCTGTCCAATATTCTCATACAGATCAAGAACAGATCAAGAATGCATTACATACCAAGTTCTCACTGCAGCTAGATTACTTCTCGCCAAAAATTTAAAAAGCAGTTAAGCCTAGATTCAATGACTTCATTATTAATTATAGTTTTTTATCAACAGACTTTTCCCCCCAAGGGTGGGGAAGGATACTCACCTTTTCTCATCCTCTTTGGTATGCAATATCATTACATACCCACTAGGAGGCTACAGTAACCAGAAGAAAAAAAAACAACCCTACCTGCTTTTATTTGGGGCCGGGGAGGGGGTAGGAATCATTCTAATTGTGGCCGGGCAAGAATTCCAGGTGCGAACAACCAACTTAGTCTTTTCCAGAGCAGAATTAAGATACCACTTTCTAAGCAACTAAGACACCCTGACCCAGCCCCCACCTGAATGTCATTCTATGGCCAAGCAAGCCAAGCTCTTCAACTTCACTCCCTCCCCGCCCCGTGCCACGCATCTCAAAAATCACCTCCGTCACCCTCTCCCAAAGCACCTTGTGTCAGAGTTTAGCCGCAGTATGACATCGGAAGACGCCAGGAGACAGTACTGCTGCTGCCCAAAGCAGGATTTCAAATATGTCAACAGCCAGGCTGTCGCTCTACCGCCTGCGTAGTGGTAAAGCAAGGCGGAGGGCTGGGTATATTCCCCCAAGCGCACAGTCTCACATCCCTGTCTTGCCCATTCAGCCGGCTCTGCCGCCCCGGCAACAGCCGGACTTGAGGCACGCAGCAAAAAGGGGGACTCTCCTAACTTCCTCACACCCCTCCCCGCGTTTCACTCAGTGAAAGCCGGTGCCGCTCCCCGCGCCCATTTCCTCCTTTCCTCAACGGCTGCTCACAGGCCACAGCCCGCCTCTGGGAACCGGGGATGGAAAGCAAAGAAAGGGAATGAAGAGATCCCCCACACCGTCTCCTCCACAACTCTCACCGGGCAAGGCCTAGAGAACGGAAAGGTGGAAGAGGCGGGAAAAGGAAAAAAGCGAGTCCCCGCTCCCCCCTCACCCCATCAGCTTCCGGCCTGCCTTGCCGCCGCTTCAGCCCCACAGTTTCCTCCCGGCCATGGAGAAGGAAGCGAGGGAACGGCCGGGCAAGGGACGCACGGCGACTGCGCGCGCCCTTACCTCGTTCTTCCCCCGCCCCGACGTCCGTTGAGTACTAGCAAACGCGCGAGAAGCACCCTTGTAGAGCTCGTTCGATCCCAGGCTCGCGCAGCCTCCGAACAAGGGAATCGAACGTGGGCGGGAGAGGAAGACGAAAAAACGGTCTCCTTGTGCAGGGGTAGCTCCGCCTCCGCCAACCCGCCTCTCCATTGCGCCTGCGCATTCTGCCCTCCTTTTTTCCCCTACACTGGGAAAGTGACTCCTTTCAATAATGCGCATGTGTACGGTTATTCACGTGTACCTTTGGGCGCTTTTTCGAGAAACAGTATAAACTTAGGTTAAAGATGTTTGGGAAGCTGCAGTCAACTCGCCCTCTTCCAAAACGTTCCAGCCGCGAGACTTAATCGAAGATTAAAGTTGTACGCAGCCTGCACTTTCAAATGATATTTAAAGTCTTACTCATTTCATCTGCAAAGGTGTCTCCCTATGCCGAAAGCCCTTAATGTGTCTTTTGCATTGGCAATTTAGGGGCGCCGTCAAACGGGTGGCTCATGTCCCTTTCTTAAGAGAGCCTATATTTGGCGCTCAGATTTTTTGCTGCCCAGATAATGCTCCTTGTATAGATGTCAGAATGGAGGCAAACGTGGGGCATTCTTGTCTTGTCCTCATGGTATTTATTCCTATATCCCACCTTTTTCAGGACTTCAAGGCATTCCCTCTGATGTTTTCCTCACAACAATTCTGTGAGGTAGCCTGGACTGAGAGTGATGGACCTAAAATCATCTGATGATCTACAGCTGATGGTGGACTTGAAAGTTGACTTTCTGTTTATAATCCAGCATAATTCGACCAGAAGAAGTTAAGGAAAGCATGCAAAATATGGCTTCAGGAATTCTGTCCAACCCCTCAAAAATAGCTCTGTTTAGATCATATGATCAGGAAGGAAATGGAGGGGTTGAAGAATGGAGAAGTCAGTAGCCCTTGTGAGATGCAGCCCAACAGCCTCTTCTGTAGAGATGCACTGGGGAATTTTTTTTTCTTGATTTTGTTTTAATCTCTGCAGTCTCCAGGTGAACCTAGTCCATTTTTAACTCAATCTGTTAGTTTTTCTGATCACACCAAATTTGTCATGTTGGATGCTGTTTTTGGAGAGTTATTCTGCTAGTAGGCAGACAGTTGGACACAGTCCCAAGCCCAATTTACATATTTTTTTCTTTCAACTCAGTTTGGCTCCACTGAGTTCAGTGTAGCTTCTTCTGTTGTAGTTAAATTAGCTATCAGATTGCACATTCAAGTCTATTTAGGGCCTGGGTTGTAGTGATTGTAGTATAAAACAGTGGGCTTGCTTTGAACATCAGGGACCTCATAAAAACAAGCACTGCACTTTGTAATATTGCTATGAAAGAACTGGCTATCCATTTAAACGGTGTCTGCCTTTTTCATCTGCAATGGTTGGGGAACTCAAAGACTTGAATGAAACTGAGCACTTTCTAAATTGGGCTCTGAGCTAAGGATAAGCTACCAAGCTGAATAAATCTGGAGAAGACTGTAGCAGAGTTGAAACATTGCTTTATATCATAATGTGGCTTGGTTTGGGCTGATTATATTTTGCAAAGATACAGCCAGTGTGACTTGAACTCAGTAAAATGGTTTAAAACAAACTCTGGTTCAGTACAAATTGTGAACCCATCCATTATGTTAAAGAGAAACTGCATTTCTTCTGATTACTTACTTTTTTGAGAGTGGACAAGTTTAATGAACTATATGCTATAAGAAACACCTTTTTATGTATTTTTGATGTATCTTCAGAAGAGGTTAGTTAGAATTGATCTTATTTTCACAATCTAGGGATGCAAGATACTTGTTTATTTCTTTGAAGGTGCTTCTAATTTCTACCATCACAACAGCCCTGTTAGGTAGGTTGAAAGAGATAGTGACTAGTTTTAAGTCATTCAGGATCCGAAACTAGGGCTCCCTGGTCCTAGCTCAACACGTTAACCACTACACCCCACATGTAACACCATCCTTGGAAAGAAGTGTCTATATGAAGAGTGTGTACTGACGGTAAAAAATTAAGCTGGAATGTTCATTGGAGCTCCATCCAGCTAAGAAAAATGGTCAACCCATGTTTTCCCTCTGAGCCCAATCCACATTACTCTTTGGAGAGGGGAAAGCGGTGGACATTGTGGAAAGGAGGTGAAGGGTCACTTGTATCTTGGAGAAAGTAAGAGACAGTCAATAAAGAAAACAGGAAGACTGGTTGTTTACCTCCCAAGGACGTTGACTCCCATTGTCAGGTGTGACATTATAAGCTGACTCGCCTGACCAAATCAGTTATTATGTAGTGGGAAGTGTCACTGGACTCAGTAGAATTTTGGGGTGTTTCACATTATAGTGCTTACCAGTTCCACATGTTACTCCCATGCAAACCAGGATTACAGATCAGGCACCGAGGAGTACTGGGATAATGTAAGTGCTTTGAACATTATAGCATTCCACAGAAACACTAAGTGAATAACTTAATATAAAAATATATGATACATGAACTTCCATAGTACTATAGGTACCATAAGATCTGATTAAATTGCTTTATTTTTAAAGGACTGACATTTTGCCCAATGTTCTTGTTATTGTCAGGAGCAATTATATATTGCTAGGCAAGACTTGGTTCCATCAGCCCATTTGTATCCAAAATTTTATAATAATTGCTGCATAGGGTGAGATTTGAGGGTGTGGTCAGTGGATATGCTTAATAGGATTATGACAACAATAGAAACATGCTCCCTTGACAGAGGTCATGCATTACTGGAAGCTTAATGTAGTTTGCTTGGTTTTAGTTTAACATGTTGTGCAAACAAAGCCAGTCATGGCTCTTTCAATAAAGCACAAGTAATGTATAGACTCAGCCATTGTGGTTAAGTTTGAACTTAATTCTATGTTTTCCTATTTTATGCAGTAACATGGGCCTTTATTCTAAAGTTTAAACTGATTGAACCTAATCACCATAGGTTCTGTGTAGGAAGGTACACTCACACTCTGCATAGAATCAAGCTGTAAGCTGCTTTATGGGGAAAAAAATGAATGAGCTGCAGCTGGGTTATGGAAGGGACTGTGGTTCTTAAGAAAGATGAGAGACCTTTTCAATTAGTTCTTTGCTGGGCTGTCCTCAACACAGCAGCGGCACGGATCTTTGGTTTGGGGTCAAATACAACAAGGGTGGAAATGACTTAGCTTTGTAGAGCTTGTGTTCAAGGTTTGAGGACAGTTTGCAAGTAGAGACACCTAGTTTAAAAGGTTGTGGGGAAAAAGGTGAGGGTTTAAGACAGCATTTGATTAGTGTTTATTTGAGAATGGCCCCTTACTTCAAAAGGTTCTCTGCTTGCTTTATTATTTCTTGCTTCTTTGAGGTGTGGGTAGGTTTTGATTCCCTTTAAGCAAAACCCTTTCTTTTTTTCTTCTTTGCTCCGCTTGTTTTATGAACTAATTGTTAGTGGCATCCCATATACTAATTGGAAACTATAAATCCAGGTTACTGTTCTATATGGTTTACTCTGTTGGCTGCAGCTGAAGGGTGGGGGTGGATTTGCTTGCTTTAAAATCCCAGTACTAGAAATGTTGGTGGAGTAATACAGAAGTCCTCAGGAGAACATCCTGTTCTCTATTAAAAGGAGCAATTTGTGTTTTGTAATGAATTATCTTTTCTTTCAGCAAGATTATATTGGTAGCTAGCCTTGAAGAAAACTAAGGTGGTTTGTTTACTTGGGAAATGATCCTATTGAATTCTGTGAATTCTTATGAAAATCTACAGGTTAGGCTATACAACTGTGATAGGTAATACTGGCCATGGTCTCTGCTGATAATGTGGTTTGTTTGATTTGGTTTAAAATGCATAAAGTTAGCCATTGTGGTTTGCAAATCACGGTTTATGGCTTAGCATTCTGTGAACCCACCCAGTTGTGGTTTATTCACAAACTGCATCTTAGTGTAATGAATGAGCCCAGTCTTACATTGATTTGCATCTTATAAATGACAAGGAATTTGCCTCTGTGTTTATATGACCCTTTCAGCAGGGTCCTTGTGGAGTAAGGTGCACCAAATATTTGGGGCTTTATAACTCGGTTCCCCACATCTCTTATTGGAATTTTCTCTCGCCAATACAAGGCCTAGAGTTCTTGTAAACACTGCAACTGCCAAAACTGTGCCTATTCTTTCCCCAAATGTAGAGGCAGATGAATTATGAAGGTTTTCTAAACAAGGGAGAGGAAGCAGTCCCAAGCAAATACCTACTGACAAAATGAAAAAAAAAAAGTGTGGTGGAGGGGGAGGTATCTGTTTAAATTTAACTTGTATTTTTACCAGGATACTACTGTAGTGTCCTTATTCTTAGATAACCTATGCTGTCAGTCAAGTGTCTTGGCCAAGATATGTCTTTTTAATTTCATGCTTACTATCTATTTCAGGCCTAGAAAATGAATGCTTCTTCAGCCTCAGAAAGCGGACCTTATTCCACAAATCAAAGGCCATTTTTTTATGCCCAGCCTACAGCACAGCAGCCATTCCCTAATCCGTGGCTCCTTGGCCCTATGTACAATCCCTATGGCATCCCTGCATCAGGTAAGAGAACCTATACAGTACAAAGTTCTGATGCATCATGACAAACTTGCTAAAAAAAATTTTTTTTTCCTACAGACTCTGAATGGGGAACAAAAATGTGAGAAATCTACTGGAAAAATCTGTCAATGTTGTTTTCCCTATTTGGTCAAATAAAAGAGCTGCAGTTGAACAAATAATTTATTAATATCTGTAGGGTTTCATTTCCTGTTCTGGATCTTAGCAACAGTGCTCTTAACTTTATAGGGTCTTTGACTAAAAATGAATGTGTTAAAAAAAACCTGGGGGAAACTGTGTGGGAGGGGCGTGGAAAGTGCCAAAGATTTAAAGGCTAATGAGGCAGAAATGACACCGGCAGAATTTTCTCATAATTTGTTCATGCATTCTTTAGTCAGAATCTGTTAAACATTCTTTTCAAATGTTGTTGGCTTTAAAACTCATGATTTTCTATAATAGCAAAATATAAATACATATGGATTGAATCACAGGGTAATCTGTCCCGAATGTTACTATTAATATTCAGAATGGGATTATAGTTCTAATGTTAGTTAGTAGTATTCTAACTAGTTATCAATATCTTAATAGGTTCTGCATAATTCCCTTCACTTGTAGCCCTGCTCAACAGCTGTATGATATCTGAATTTTCAGTGGATGAAACTTTCAGAACATATAGCAAGGAACAGGAAATCCCTCACTTACATAACCTCTGCTTGCTTGCTCCTAGGGGAAAAGCATAGCTTTATTTAGTATAATTGATTTAAATACAATTTATTTCAAGTGCATTTAATTAGCTTGCAATCTTTAGCTTGTTTGGATATAAATGGTTCCATTGACAGCAATGAGGCATGCTTCCAAAGAAATGTGACTAGGGTCTACTTGTTATTGCAGTTAGAGATGAATATAAAAATAGAGTCTCCTTCAAGTCATACGCAGCTCCTGGCAACTTCACAGATATGCCCATGTAGTTTTTTTGGCAGCAGTGCAGAAGTGGTTTGCCATTGCTGCCTTCTGGTTTTTTTTTTTACCCTTCCCAGTCTGGCCTACAGCTCTGGAATTTCATGGGAATCTCCATACAAATACTAGTCCTGTTTTTCAATATCTGTCAAGGGCAGTGAGTACAACAAATCTAATTACCAGCAAAAGGTATTGTCAACCATACAAATCTTCTGCCTTCTATGTTTGTCTACTTCCCAAATCACACAAAGCTATCAGCCTCCTTTAACTGTAAATTATAAACTTTTCCAGTAATAGTCATTGAGCTGCACTGAATTTTGCATGTAGTACTCCAGGTTTTCACATCTCACTGCCTTGCTGAGCTGGATGTAACTCTAACCTTGGACAAAAGTAAGTAAATAGTGTGAGATAATATTTCCAAAGGCAAGGAGCTATTAGTCTGTTGGATACTAGAAAACAGCTTGCTTATGCTGTAAGAACAACTTGGGAAGCAAGTCTATTGTGCATAATATGTTTATAAAAAAATCAATATGGAATCTTTGTGGTTTGGTCATCTTGTTTTACTATGGTTGTGCATGATAGTACAGTGAGGCAGTGCTGTGGTACCATGTCTTAAGACATCCTTATTGTTTTCTGAACTGTTTTATGCTGTGGAAGAAATTTCTATGAATGCACTGATTCTTTATAGGATACCTAGGAAGATATAGGGCAGTCTGGTGATGCTGCTGAATCAGCATAGATCCATACATTTTACATTTTGTGGGTCTTTATTGAATATTCTAGATTAGTTGATGGCATGTTTAGCCTTGCTGAAGATCTGATAATTACAAGCCAATGTCATAACTGTATTTTGGGTTTGTTCTCAGGCTTAAGAAGTGGCAACCCATATTTCCCATTTTATTCAGTTCCTCTCCATGAGTATCCTGGATATTTAGTTCCACAGCCTCCCATGCATATGAGAGTTAATAGAAGACCTTATTTTAATGGTCATCCACCCTCACCCATGTTTTATCAAGCCACACGGTTCAGGCACTATAGCCCAGGGAAACGAACAGAGACCAAAGAAACTCAAACTGATCTTAGACAATCTGAAAGTAAAGCAAAAATACATCTGGATCAAGATACAGAAACAAAAGGCTGTGATGCTGGAAATATGGCTTGTATCCTATCTGATACTGCTAAAGGAACTGAAAACTCATTAGAAAAGCAAGATAGAACTATATCTGCTGCTGTGTCAGACAGGGACTTTGCCAAGAATTCTTCAGGTCCTGTAGCATTTCGAAGTCTTCCCCCAGCAGGCTATGCCTTTGAGAAAGAGGAAGTTAGAATAGAATATGCAAATGATGGTGCTCCTGCCATTCAGCTATGGAAGTCTTTCAAAGAAACAATCCCTCTCTATGATGTGGCAAAGAAACAAGTCCCAAAGAATGTAATGCAAAGGGATATGTTTGCTCTGAGCTCTTGTGAAGGAGTTGTATATGGGCCTTGTGAACAAGGAGAATTGCTACCAAGTATTTCATTTTCAGAGGAGCAAAAGGCTCCTGAGGACATGCAGGAGAAACAGCCTCAATGTAAAGAAAATCAGGATTCAGAAAAACAAGGAGTTATAAACTGTAGAACAAAGAGTCCATTGGATGAAGTTAGAACAGTGCAACTGGCTGAACCAACTGGGCCTGATCAGCCAGGGACAAGGCAAGATGTACTGATGTCCAAAATATCTTCTGGCTTTAAAAGATTAGGTGGTTCAAAAGTTCCACAAGAAGTTTCAAACCTTGTTCGACAACGGGAATTATTTCCCTCTGGCATGGAGATAACAAATGATTCATATTTCTCTCAGAAGTTAAGTGAATATAATGATGTGAACAATGAAAACTGGACTACTTCAGAGAAAAGCTTATGGTGTGATGAGTCTGAAAAATATCTTCCTTCTGAGAGCTGGTTGGCTTGTTTGGAGAACATGGATGCAAACTATAACTATGATAAATATCTTTCCCGAAGAAAGCGCCCAAGTGTGCTTAGTATTACATCTGATGAGATGTCTTCTATTGAAGAAGGGTCATCAATTGACAACACATCAGTGTCTGTCTTAGCCCCAGACTACCTGCTTCAGAAGGGTTTATGTACCTTTAAGAAAAACACTGATGGCTTGGGAAGAGAGAAAATAAGAAGTGGGGGCTCCCTCAATGAAGATGAGGAAGTGATGGGGATTGAGCAGGCTACTACTGGTTACAGTCAGAATCTCAAGAGTGGTTCAAGAGCCAAGGCTAAAGAGATTTCTAGCCGAATCAGAAAGTTGGGCATTCTTCCGAGATCTTCCAGTAGCAAGCATCTCTACTGTCTCAAGAAAAAAGCAACCAAGAGTTTGTCTCCATCAGATGCTGATGACTCTGAAGATTATTGGGTAAAGGAACCAGAGGAGGATGAGGAAGAAGAAAATGAAGAGGATTACTTTGTTCAAGAAGCTATTCCATATGGAATCCTGAACTCAGGCAAAAGTGGACTGGGCCGACAGACTGCCCAGCAAGTATTTTGGAGAATCCCTAAAAATGCAATGCCAGCACATGTAATTAACTGGCCTGTACAAGAGAAAATAAAAATGTCTGGGTTGTCTACTAAACTGAAGAAGGAGCAGGAGCAAGATGAAGATCTCTGTGGTGATTATAACTTCCGCTTGATGAGACCTACAGCCCAACAGCTAGAATTACTTGAACACAGAAGAAATCCACAGAAATGCTCAGGTAATGTCAGCCCTTCCAGGTAAACCAGCAGGAAACACAACTACATGAGGTAATTCTACTTTATTGTTAGGTTATATTAACTGAATCTTGCAAGTCTGAAAGTACAACTCTCCTGCCATCCCTTTTTACCACCTGATTAGTTACGGGGGTCCTTCCTAAGTTTCTTTCTCTGCCTGTTACTCAGTTGTGGGCTCCCTCCCCTTTTATCTGATCATTCCATAGGCAGCATCTCTTCCCCCATCTTCCGAGGTCATTCTCACATTACAGGTAAATAGAAAACTGAAACAGGTGTCAACCCATTGTTTTGGAAAACTTCTATGACTGTGTTCATTTGCTCATGTATAGTTGGTCTTTTTAAGTCAAGGAGCAGAAGGGGAAGATATATTGTTTTTGTGTTGTTCTTTTTAATAAGCTATATATGTAAGAACTTTGTACATAGCTACTTGAATGCTCATCCCTCTGAAAAGCTGTTATTTGGAACATACTTCAAATTCTTTCTCTGCCTCCTCATATGTACCTCTTGCTTTGAAATTCTTATACACAATTCACAAACCAGCTTCGTTGAATTTCAAAAATGATGGAATATTGAGTGACTTCAGTCTAAATGAAAAGCATGTTTCTTGATGAAGAGTTGAAAGTAGCATAGTCCATATTAGTATCCCTCCTGACTTATGTGTATACATGAATATATTCATACTCTGGAGTTCAATCAATGGACAAATTGGAATGGAATTAATTCAATTAGGATTGTTGAGTTAATTTGTTTTATCAATTACTAAGTGGATGCGTAGCAAAGAACTGAACTTCTGCTTCATATATCTTGGTCAGGAAGGTTACAAGAGGAAAATAGAAGGGTTGGAGCTGATGAATACTGGATGAAGAGTGGTGCTAGACCCAAGTTTGCTAGCCTAATGCATGGTGGTCTCTCGCCTACTGCTAAAAGTAGAGAGAAAGGTACAGTCTTTATTGTTTAAATTTTAAAAAATGTACTATATTCATCTATTAACATGACCTCAACTAATTTTCTTTAGCCCAGTGGCAATTAATTTCACACTTCTTTTGTTCTCCAAGGGAGGGAATCATAATAGCCAAGTGGTAACTTGTGCACGCAAAATAAGCAAGGTAGTTTGAATGCAGAGGTATTGCACATAAAAGCAGTTCCAATGCTATTCACAGCAAATGTGGATTTAGGATAACAGGTAAAACTCAGTTGGGATCCTCAGCCAGTCATAATTCTCCAGCTGCTAGTGCATATGAAGCACATATTTGCCCATACTTTATTCTGGGAAAATATCTACTACGTTGTATAGTGAATTTGCAACACCATTCGTAAAGAATGAGGTGTGGTAAGGGTGCCCTTGCAAGCAAAGTAACTTACAGAAAAGTGGGAAACAGTAGAAGGAATTAAACTTTAGGCACAGATTGAATAAAATGATTGTCTTTACAACAGGTATCTCAAATGCAGAAGTATTCCCTTTTGCGTCTGACAAGGTGTATGTGGACTGGCCAAAGAAGAAAGGGGTGCGTAAACCTCCACATAAACGCAGAGACACAAGGTGTGATACAGTTGAAGAATGGGAGAAGCCTAGAACTACGCATCACAAGGGTAAGTGCACTATGCCAGTGAATTCTCTAGTAATAGAGAGCCTCTTGCTTGAAAATTCAACGTCCAAGTTGTGTCTATAATAAGACTGAGTGGTATATAGAAGTCCAATAATATTTAGCACATAGACATCTTATAATTAACACTACAAATGAAAACTATGGGTTCACAGGGCTGGAAAACATAATGGAAGCTTTCTCTGCATAGGATGTTCCCGGGTCATCTTTGAAAAGAAGCTTATAATAAAAACGTAGATGATAACTACCACCAAAAATATCAAATGCTGAATTTGTATTGACTACATAGATACCTGAATGCCTAGCTCAGGCCTGCCAAGGAAGGACAAGTTGTATAAAGAATATAAGCAGACTGATGGACTGATGGTTAGGCTCAGCTGAAGTGCCATGGGAGATTCCTGTTCTAAATTAACGTTTATCCTTAGACTAATTTCCTGGAAAATCTGACTTTTTTATATGGTAACTGGCTGCATGCCTGCTGTACTCTCCCCAACATGGACTGTTATATTGCAACAAGTGTTAACAAGGTTTGTGATTGAAGGTCTAAGTGGGTCTTCCCTAAGGTATGGTCAGGATGCTCGTATCTTTGGCACACGTTTTACTGGGTGGTTATGCTGACTGGCATGTGATGCTGTGCATTGCCCCAATATCTACATTTAGTGCCAATTCAGATGTGATACAGAAAGGTATGTAAACGAACTCAGACAAATCACCCTAGGATGCAAGTTATAGGTTTGAATTCCCCACACTTAAACAAAAAATCTTAAGAGAATCCCAACTTATTTAGGTCCTGAGATGTCCTAATTTTCAGTAGCTGGGTAGTGTTTGTTGCTTATAAAGGGCTTTTTCTTATATAGTGATATAACCACCTTATGGTAGGCCTATGCCACGTATATATTTTAAATATTTGAACTGTTTTCTTATTCTGTTAGATGATAGAACATCTTCTAGTTAAGATGTTCCTTCATAATGGACAGTTAGGCTGTAATGGTTTG